TAGTCATGTCCATCTTGGAGTCCACTATGACTCCAAGATCCCTTTCTGCTTCTGTGCTGCTGAGAGGGTCATTTCCCAGCCAGTAGGTGTGCTGGATATTTTTATACCTTAGGTGTAGCACTCTGCATTTGTCCTTGTTGTACTGCATCCTATTGTGTTCTGCCAACTTTTCCAACCTGTCCAGGTCTGCCTGCAATCATTCCCTATGCTCTGGTGTGTTCACTTCACCACACAATTTAGTATCATCTGCAAGCTTGGACAGAGTATATTTCACACCCATATCCAAGTCACTGATGTAGACATTGAAGAGTACAGGTCCAAGGACCAAGCCCTGAGGGACTCCACTACCCATATCCTTCCAGGTCGATACCAACCCATCCACTACCACTCTCTGAGTGTGACACTTCAAGCCAATTTGCCACCCATTGGACTGTGTGATCATCTAAGTCACAGCCTCTTAATATATTTATGAGAATGAGATAAGATACTATATTGAAGGCCTTCCTAAAATCCAAGTGTACGACATCCACCTCTACTCCTGCATCCAAGTGTTTTGTAACCTGGTTATAAAAAGAAACCAGATTAGTCAGGTGTGATCTACCTGCTAGGAATCCATGCTGGTTTCGCTGTTGCATTATTTTTCCCTCTGTACTCACACAAAAATGATTATTAATAATCTTTTTAAAGACTTTTCCAAGGATAGAAGTGAGACTGACTGGCCTATAATTACTTGGATCCTCCTTCCTCCCCTTCTTGAACATAAGGACCACATTGGCCCTTTTCAGATGATCACCTCATCCAAGATGATCTACCTTCCGGTATCAGTATCCAGTATTGATTGGATGGGAAGCTTCTCAATCTTGGGCGCTTCCGGGCAAAACCAAAACTCACCACCAAGGACATCCACAACCTTCAGTTTGCGGATGATTGCTGTGTGATGGCTTACTCTGCACAGGATGTACGAGTGACCTTAGATCTCTTCAATGCCTGTTCTTAAACATTGCCAAGATGAAGGTTCTCTACCAACCCTCCCCAGGCCAGCTGAACATCCCTTAAGCTATCTACATAAACAGGGAGGCTCTGGAGCATGTGGAGCACTTTCCATATCTTGGCAGACACCTCTCTAAATGGCCTACCATTGATGAAGAAGTCCAGCTGTGCCAGTGCCACCTTCTTCAAGCTGTGACAACATGTCTTTGAAAATAGAGAACTTCAGAAGTTGAAGAAGGTCCTGGTTTACAAGGCTGTTATGCTAACCACCCTCCTCTACTGTTGTGAAACCTGGACCATCTACCGATGTCCCATTAAGACCCTTGAAAGCTTTCACCAGCAGTGCTTGCATCAAATCCTGGGGATCAAATGAGAGGACCACTGGACCAGTGTGAGGGTCCTCCATGAAGCCGCATCCACCAGCATCGAAGCCTTGCTCTTGAGAAATAAACTCTGATGGACGGGCCACTGCATCCAGATGTCCCAGAACTGCCTCCCTCACCAGATTCTCTTTTCTCAGCTGTCTCTTGGCCAACGCTTAAAGGGCAGCCAAAGGAAATGGTACAAAGATACACTCAAGGTCACCCTCAAGCACAGAGGCATTGACATCAATGGCTGGGAGGAGCAAGCTGCTGACCGTTTGGTGTGGCACCACCTGGTCCACCAAAGTGCATACCACTTCAAGGCCCAATGATTCGATACTGAGGTGGAAAGACGGTAGTGGAGGAAAGAGAAGGAGACCAACCCAGGACTGCAAATACCACTCCCCCATGGAGCAACATGCCCCCATTGCCGAAGAATGTGTGTATCCAGAATCCGGCTCGTCAGTCACTTGAGGACCCATCAAGCCTGACAGACATCATCCTCGACTCTGAGGGACTGCTGCCACCATCAAGCACTGTAGCTTGTGCCTGATGTAGTAACTGAGCTGGTTCAGGGCAAGTGAGCTACTGCATGCAGTCTGTAGTACCTGGATGAGGCTTTTGGTATGCAAACAACATTTTATTATTCATAGGAATTCATATAAAGAACTAGTTAAAGTAAAGAAGGCTTGATACTGCCCTTGCAAAGATCTAGAGCCTAGCCTTGTAGCTGCTGTGTAAGGAAGTTCCTGCTCCCTCACCCAGAATGTCTTTTGAGATGTCACACTTCCTGGACATTTTGTGTTTACAGGATGACTTACTCTACATCACATGGTTAAGCATGACTTTGGAAAAATCTTTTTTTTCAACATTTGGCCTTCCAAAACACAAGGGTGTGTCTTTTTTGGGGGATATAGTACATGGAAAAATATGGTAGCTGATGCCTGTTTTACTTGGAGAAAGGCAGCTCCCAGACAGATTCTCAGGATGCTGGTCATTCTTTCTGAAAATGAACAGTGGTCCAGGGCTCTTTGGATCAAGCTATATCTGCTCACATAGCCCATGCAGGTCTTCTAAAACCAAAAAAAATTAACTGCTAAACTGAAGAGGAAAATATCATCAGCAGCCACCCATCCTTATAGCTGACACCATACTTTGGGATATGGCAAAAGGAATGCACCAAAGATGACACTATCAGCATTGGCACTAACAACCTCAACAGTGCAGTGTTTGGTGCTAACAACCTCAATATTGTCAACCTCAGAGCTGGCTTTGGTACTGGTAGGCCCACTGCTTATGCTTTCAACATTGAAGGGCAAAATGAAGAAGCATGACTAGTTGGAGCGTAAGCACACATCCAGTTACCATGCATGACTATCTTACATCTGTAATCATACTGATAGCTGAAGCATATCAAGAATCTGAGTTATATCCTGATAGAAGAACTAACATTCTGTCTAAAGATATCCTTTGTGGGGAAGAAGCAACTAGCACTGGCACTGATTCAATATCATTTTATTGAAATACACCCCAACATTTAAGGTGTATGGTAATCATCATTGCTTCCCTGCTTGTTTGCATTGGCCTCAAATAAGTATCTCTCCCTTACTTCTCAGAATAATCCCAGGGAAGATTCCAGGGCTCCCTCTGCTTTGGGCCATATCTTAGGAGGACATGAGTGGGATTGGCCCAGGCAACCTCAAATGGGCCATTACCCTTACAACATGCTTCCTTGGCCTTATTGAACACTATAATATAAGATTGGCAGAAACTGCCTGACCCAAACATTGAGGAAGAGGATAGCTTTCTTTACAGAAGCTTCGTTAGCTTGGCCACCTAAACCAGAGGCAGACATCAATCTTCAAGGACTAATAAGAATGGAAAGGCAGCTTCAACCTGTGTTCCCATCTAAAGAATCATAGGATCATAGAAAATTAGGGTTGGAAGGGACATGAGGAGGTGTGACAGTTGTGACTCCGCAACACTGATGAAGGGCCAACCACCCGCCTTCTCGCCTGCCACGCCTTATTGTTATTTGCTTGATTGGAAGATATTAATCAAGCAGGAGGCTGCCCATTTTCTGTCTCGGTGCCTGGGGCACTA